TATGCTCGGACAGCGTTCATCTTTCTCTGATCTACCGAGACGCCACCGTCTTGGATAAACGACGCTTCGGTGTTGTTGAGCTCGGCAGCGCCATCGCGGTAGGTGTTGTCGGCAACCTCATGATCATCCCAGACAGCGATCCAGGGGAAGTTTGCATGACTGGCGATCAGGTCTAGATCTGTCTTGTAGGTAGCATGTCTAAAATGCGCGAGTTGGGTCAGCGTGGTCCCATGTAATCGGGCAGCAGGATTCGTTTGAGTAATCAAGGATCAAGAACCACCCACCGCTTGCGGTAATCATAGAGCGTATAGATCTGTCTATCTGGCAAAGGGACACGTCCAATAGTCTGACCCCATCCATATTCGCCGTTGGCATACTCGTAGATATAATCACCGAGGTGCAGAACATAGTCGACGGAATCTTTGCGGACCGGGTTACCGTATGCGTTGAAGAAACCAAACGGAAAATTGCTGCAAGAATAAACCGCCAGGTTAACCCCCGTGACGTTGTCCGTGGTCAAAGGAGTAGTCTTAGTTCTGCCGACCATGCTAGAGACACTGCTGTTGCAGATGGTGAACTGGTAGAAGTATTGCGTAAAGGGTTGCAAGTTTGAGGCTTCAACTTTGACCGTGTAGTCGACATCCGAGCTCGTGTATACAGTTCCTTGGTCAACAGCGGATGACAACGCTTTGTCACTCGCGATCTTCCAGTTCAAGCAAACAGGAGAGGTCGAAGGTGGCTTGCCCTCGTCGGTGTCGTTGTAAATCGGAACAGGATTGTAAAGTGGCACGAAGCCGCCGGTAGAGCTATTACTTTTGACGTCGTCCGAGGTAGGAGCACATCGTGTCCACAAAATCACACTGTTGGGATATGGGTCGCCAGACGCAACTCCATGGGTGAAGTTCAGCTGCGAGGCTGGTGTGGCCTGTCTCTCAACATGTCGCTTGACGACCTTTCCCACCGAGATACCGAGAGCAGGGTGATGAAGGGACGGAGAGCGGTAGTTCAGGTTTGCGCCGTACGAAGCAAATGTTACACCAATCAAGGTGGCAAACACCGCGAACTGCAACATTTTGCGAAAGAGCTCTTGGGCGAGGGAGAGAGAATATGCTTGCTCACCTTGGTTTTCTCTCGGCATCACCTGAGGGGACAGCCAGCTCTTTTTGAAGAAACCTTGAGCTTCATAGCTCTGGGATCTCCAACTCCAACTGCCACAAAGCGTTGTACCCCGGCATCCCACGCTTCCTCAACCGTGATGGCCCTGCACAGAAGCTATTTGTCAAGCAATAAATAGCCACTTAGGTTCAGGGACAAGCTTTCCGATGCATATTGGCAAGAGGAATGAGCCAATTGAGGGCAAGGCTGCAGACATGCTCCAGGCAGAGTCCGGATCGGCAACGCCCGGATTTATTCTGGCTCGATGTTGAAGCTGCCTATCTGATCATAGCCAGGTCGAACAGAAGCACCTTGAGCGATGGCGGCACCGATAGAAGCAAGGGCTTTGCGTTGGACAAGGGTCCCAAGTGGTGAGTCGTAGGAAGAAAGGTAAGTTTGGATCGAAGGAAGCATGCAGTAGTGGTAGAAGAGTGGAAGAAGCGCAGCCACACCTTGTCGAGTCTTGGGACACGTGCATGCGGCCTCCCATCAAATCAGGGCGGAGGCATTGCAAAGATACCAACACCACCACTCTCCAACGTCATGGACCAGTACCTACTTCCCACACAATATCCACATAGTATCCATCAGACCACGCCTTGCCATGTCTCTAGAGCTTACAGACAAGGACCAGCATCGAGATCGGCCGGGGCAAGCACAACAGCATAACGGCCAGCAGAAAAACAAAAAACAAAAAAAGCGGGTGGACGAGAACAAGCTGGTCTCGAAGAGCTGCCTGAATGGGCAAAGGCTACAACTACTTCGTCTCGTGTATAATCTTTCCTTTTCCTGCGAGAGGTCCCCGAACAATGGATTGCTCACTCAGGAACGATTCCTCCTAAGCCCCTCCACATATCACAGCGATACCCTCTTCCAGCTTCCCATGTATATGCATTCACCAACGTGAAATTGTTCACCAGGCCCGGTTCCCCGTATTCTGTCAAGTTGGTTTTGATGTATGGCAAACTGAATGCGAACGGTGTGCCCCCGGTGACATTGAGGTTGATCTGGAGAGGGGAGTACATCTTGAAAGGAGGCCAGTCGGAAACTGGATTGCTCAAGGTACTGTTGGACGACATTCCATTGGCAACAGCACTGGGAATAGACGGGTTATCCGACGTGATAAAGCTGCCCCAGATCTTCATGGCTGCGTTGACAAAGTCCGGGCTTTGGTTTGGTGTGGGTGGCCCAAAGTAGGCCGTCAAGTCGGTGCCGTGAACAGCAATCGGCACGGAATATTGATACTTGAATGAATTACGTCCGTGGTCACTGTAGGCCTCTGCCATCCAGTACGACGGGCATACAAACGTAGTCTCCGAATAGATAGCCTGTGTTCAAGTCAGCGTCCGCTGAAATACTTGAATCCCACGCTTCAGACTCACAAAGGCTCTTTGCTGCTGCCCTGTCGCAACAGAGCTCTGGTTGATGAAGCTCGGGAGCTCAGTGCCGGAAGAGGCATACAATGGCGCATCGGGGTCCGTGGAATCATTTGAACTTGGATAGTAGAGTAGCACTTTGGCAATGTCATCGTTCGTGAACAGCGGAAACGTCAACTGTAACCACGCCACGAGGTCGTCTTCTGTCGTAATGTTGGGCTGGGTATATGCCGGTCCCTCGAGGGCGTTGTTGCTCACGAGCAAGTTTAGTCCGTTGAGCTCTTTACGCAAGAGTTGGCGACTAGGTAGATCTTGAACGAATATGCCGTCTGTTACGGGCAAGAAAGCCCAAGTCCCATATTTGCCCGACTCGGACAGAGTGGCGCTTGCATTTTGTAGTGTGGCCGAGTCTTGACTGACAAGACAGTCAAAGATTGTATTTGGATGAGCACCATAGGGCAAGGTCGGTGCGCAACCAACCATGGTGGCAAAGGCGTAATATGACTGTGAAGGTTGCCAATCCTTGTACCCGTACTGCATGGGTAGGTACGGCGATGAAGCGATCGTCTAGCAGTGTCAGATGGCATACCGAGTACTTCGCAAACTCGCCAAAGTGACCTACATTCCTGAAAAGCGACTGGCCAAGGGAGCCACCATACGCCATCCCTTGAAGCTAAATCCCGGTATCAGCACGAGCTTGATCTCCTTGGGTGTGACTTGTGCCTAATCAAAGAAACTCGAGGGATGTCCTCCTTATCTGAATGAGCAACGTACCATGACTGATCCAGCTCCTGCAAAGGTACGTTAGTATATTCCTCCATAACACTGATGAGACAATGAAGCTGTCTCCTGTGAATGAGAGTGAAACCAGCGACTGAGAACCTACCTGCTGACTGCCCGGCTATCGTCACATGATTGGGATCGCCTCCGAACAAGGAAATATACCTTTGCGCCCACTGTAGCGCAAGATATTGGTCGAGCAAGCCAGCATTGACTACTCCATTCCGAAAGACTTCATCACCTGCAAGAAAGCCAAAGGCACCCAGCTAGATAGGTCAGCTTTGACGCAAGAGAGATGGTGTTGAAGAGTTACCCTGTACTGAATGGTCACACCGATAAAGGAATTATTGTTAGCATTGATGATGGCCGACAGATCCTGCTGACCGTTCCCTCTCCCATAACCCCCGCCATGAATGTAAAAAAGAACAGGGAGTGGACTGGGAGGATTTGGCGGTGCGTATACGTTGAGAAACAAACAATCTTCGCTCGCCCCCGTACTGTTCAGAGGCACCAAGGTACTGGTTGTGTCCTGGTTTTGAGGACATATGGGACCAAACTGGGTCGCTTGAATCACGGAATCACGGTTTGTTTGAGGCACCTGAGGAGCTTGCCATCTGTTCGAGCCAGTCGGGGGAGCTGCGAAGCGGATGCTAAGTTGTGATTAGTTATGTGGTTCTTTAGGATGAAGCATCTCAGATGTACCCTTTCCACACGTTCAACCTCGTCGTCGAGTTAGTGTAGCCCTGGTAGACCTCGTAGCCAAGGTCAACTTGCAGCGAGGTGCTGTTTTCAGTGGAAGCTTGACGAGTATGGAGAACGGGTGGATACGGCTGAGGGTTGCACTGAGGATATGCAGAGCAACGTGCTAATAGAGAGACGGCAAAGAAGAATAGAGCACGCATTTTCCCTGTGGTATCCCTGACAGACCGTGTGTGTGTCTGGGAATTGGAGGGGTTGAAGGAGTCTCAAGGGTCTCTCTGAGGACACATATTTCCATATATTTCGCGGGCACAATCAGTCCGGTCTGTCGCACACGGTACCGCCAATGCCGCGACTTGTCGGACAGTGACCGGCATTCAGGTGGAAGCATTGTGGGCTTTGACCCCAAGCTGCAGTTGATATTAGCCGTATATCAAAACAGATGCGAAATAGATGGAGATGAGATGTCAATGGATAGACGTCATTGGATCCCCCACATTCTTAGCCTTTAGTCTCCTCATTCTCGGATCCGCCACCCCGTCATTGAGGATGCAAAGAATCAGGCGTCGCAGCGTCAAGGTCGTGTGAGGCTGGTCCAACTCCGCACGGCAGATGAAGGTCACCCGCTTGGTCCGGCAGTGATTCTGGAAAATTGAACAAACAAGCACCATGCTTCAGCCAATGGGATCCAAAGCATCAACATGTTGTGCTGGCGGTCTAGACACCAGACAGCTAAAATCTATTTTCCTATGACCGCCTTTAGCAGACAAATCTCAAACCCGATTGCCTCACCTATCATGATCAGTGAGACGCCACATCCACAATTCATATTCCGTTGCCGTCATTCACCAGCTCGTATTTCACCGAACAACCCAGCTAAGCTTGACACATGTATATGCGCGCGAGCAGAGTTTTGGCTTCCGAACACCAACACCAGACTTTATGACTTCGGCTTGATATTGACGAACGGCTCTCGCGTCTCCTGGACGTTCAGTTGCTCTTCTTGTCGCCACCGCTCGGGTTCAGTTGGTTGTATTTGACGCTCAACTCGTCGTATTCCTTTTGTAGACCTTGCGCTTGACTCTTCATCGCCTCCAGCTCTTTGTCCTTCTTTTGAAGCTGTTTCTTGAGTTCGCCAATCTGGTCGGCTCGATATTCTCCGCTGAGTTTCTCCCCTTCTTTGCCGCCGGCACGCTTATCCCCCTCGTACATCTTGACCTTCTCTTCGAGACGAAGGACATCAAGGATCATGCCGTAGGTGCGGTTGAGAATGAGGGAGAGGAAAAGTGTGAAGCCGGTCAGGTACATGTTGCGCTGAGAATAGAACTTGCGGGCTTGAACCTCCATGCGCTCAGAACCTATTGCTGCTGCTCGTCTGCTTTTGTCAGCCGTGACCAATTGGGCTGGCCTGATGTGATCCTGCAACGTACCCTGCACCAGTGGTGTCCTTTGACAAAGCTGCCATCTCCACCTGAACGCGGTAGACTCTGTTGACGCTGTCGAGGAATAGAATGAGAATGAAGATGAAGGTGATCTTGCGGAGTGTCAGTCGACATCAGACCGTCTTAGCAGAAGCTGCGGCATACCTTCATGCCATATTGTATCTTGGCTACAATTGGACTTTCAGAGATGAAATTGAACATTTTCCGCTTGACTGTGAATGGCATCGGGATGATAAGGGCTATAAACAAGACCATCTCCGTCACCAGAAGGACGAATACCTGTGATGGTTGGTCAGCTTCAATAGCCCACAGTAGTTACTACCCAGCGTCACTGGGGCTTGACTGACCAGGCTGTAATAGAGCGTCATGTTTGCGGGTTGGCGTGAATGGAATCCTGCCTCCGAAGGTGCGAGAGTGGGGCAGTTGGGAGGACAGTGCCAGAGAGTAAAGGATGTAGAGACAGAGAGTTAAGAACAGAACCGATGGACCGTGGAGTTTGTACTTGGAGAACAGAGAGACCACGAATTCAAGTTGAAACCTGACGAGAAATAAAGGCCAGAGTCTACAGGGCGACCAGTAGTGGAATTGTGTGGGCCAGTCTGTGGTTTGTTGCGTCACCGTCACCCCTTCGACCAAGCTGAGCGCAAGTGGCACAGTCACTCAGAGTGGCACCAGCTGCCACAGGCTGCAGTAATAATGCTTCAGAAAAGTGTGGCACGCGTCATAATTGTAAGGCCTCGTCTTTCTGCGTCGCCCTACTGGTTGCTACGGCGGTCTTTAAGCTTCGTAGCGCAGTCACTCCCCGATATTCCACCCAACCACAACTTTAGGTGAGTCCGGCTGATGGAACATAGCGTATCATCTTGAATTTGAAGCTCTCATCATCAGCTGCGGATCCGTTGTTGAAAACATTGCCATTGACATGGCATCGCCTCGCTTTGGTAGGATTTACAGAGCCATTGGCATGGTTAGTTCGTTGGTCTTTCCGAATCAACTCCACGATCTCAAGTCAGGGCCGGCTCTACGAGACGTGACTCTCTTTATCGACACATGTAGAATCTGAAAATAGAATTGACTCTCTGTGCTGGGTAGACCTAATACCATAGCTCTATCTGAGAGGCTATCATAAGCTGCCTCTGCTGAACGAGCCCTTTTGGCGACATGACCCAACCCCTCATAATATGTGCAGATAAAGCTCCTCCCTCCCCAGCCTTCCCAACCTTCCCAGCCAGAATTCCTTGTGCATCCCGTCAATATTGATCCCCAGAAAAACCTGCAACATCCTCTAATACGCCGTGCATCACCAAAGCAATTGCAGAATGTGGCTGGCATGATCTCCAGCTGGATTGACGGGGAACTCTCTTAGGATATTTGTCGTGCACCCATTCTTTCATATTCGCATTTCCACTGGTGGAGTGGGAGGACATGTTTGCGTCTCGGAGCCTGTCGTAAGTTGCAGCGTATTTCATGCTAGGAGCCATCCGAACCAACAGCATGCTAAGCGAGGCATGTTCGCACGCGTCGAAACTCTCCTTACCACTCGAACTCGCCTTGACCTTTGTGGAAAACGTACCTGTTGTCAAGACAGGTCAGTATCACAACACCTTTTCATTATGCCAACCGGGGAGACGAAACGAAAAAAAAGAGGGGGACTTACTCATTTCCTTCCACCCTCAAAATACCGTCCTTGAGAGTGCACTTCCACTTATTCTTGACCCGCTGAACCTTGTCATAGGTGCAGAGCATAACTTGGTCAGTGTTTTCTCCATTCTCCTCGTTTGCGGCCAGGTCGTCGGGATCATCCAGATCGGAGTTGATGGCATCCTCATCTTCATCCGCATCGTCGTCATCGCCCGTCGCGTCGCCCTGTGCACGGCTGACGCTCGTAGCGTGAGTGATGCCCGCCGAGGGAGCAAGGGCATTGAGTGTCCGAGCAGCAGCTCTGCCGGGAATTGTACGTTCATCGAGGGCCGTCAGAAGACCGCCACCTTCAAGTTCTTGTTGCTTAGCCCGCAAGTGAGCGCGCATCAGACGGTCAGCTTCAACACCGTGAGCAGCAGCGAATATTTTCCGTTGGGAGTATTCGGCTTCCCAATCATCACGGGCGTCGCCTGAACCATCTGTTTGGCTTGCATTAAGAGCAGTTTGGGTCTGAGGTTTGATGTCTGCGGCATAGTTCTGGATGTCGGTGAATGCAGAAGTAGAGTCTTCCTGCTTAATGTAGTTGCCCGAAGGCGCTGCGGATGGTTGTATAGGCACACGAGGCGCGCTGCCGGATTGAAGTTGTGCAATTTGAGGACCAGCACGTTGGCCAAAACTTTGGTGAAGATTCATGGCTGCTCGATCGCGAGCGGTCAAGGGCTGACCCTGCTGGAAAGATGGTGCCTGATAAGGTTGCGGGGGAGGGGGCGCTGGCTGTGTTGGATAAGAGGTAGCATTGTTTTCGATCTTGATGGGCGGAGCAGAAGGGGGGGCCTGTTGAGCTGGAGGGGTGTTGACAGCAGTCCCATTGCTTGGGAGGGTTTGCGGCACGGGTTTTGCATTGCTAGGAACAGTGCTTTGTTCTTTGATGACGGGAGCTGGGGGGGGATCCCAAGGAAGCTGCGCAACCTTGAGACCAGAAAGCTTCTTCTGCCATTCCTGCAGGCACACTTGTCAATATACAAATCACAGCACCATGCTTAAATGGAGACGGGGCAGTGGTTGCGAAAGCCCAAAGGGGATTAGTGCCTGACACGTGGGTGGGCCGGTGTGGTGTGCAGTGGCGTTCAGGGCGTATAAAAAGAGGGCTATGAGTGAAGAAGGGGGCGCCTTCAAGAACCTTCCGATCCCCGCCCTGCCTCGCCCGCTGCGCTCGCTCGCCCTCCTCCCACCCACGGCTCCCGTCTGCCTGCGACAACCCTGCTGTCCCATGTTCACGCAATCGATGTGTCCATCTTTTGCTCCTTGTGCATTTTCTTGTCACGATATTGCTGAGTTTCGGAGGGAACATTTGATGATGGACGGGAACAGAAATCGGTGTACTTTTGATGGCTGAAAATGTACTTACGGATCTCAGAAGTTCAAGAGTCGCCAACTCCACGCCACCTTCCTCAAAATCTTGCCGTGACGCTTCGCAAACATCAGTTATGACTTTGGCATAGACGTCGCCCTGGTGCAGGTGATAAACGTTAGCCTGTAGACGGACACAACTGCAGACTGCGCTCGACAGATTTGAGGTTCATTTGGCAAAGCGAAGAGACAAGGATGAAGTCGACAGACAGATTGTGCAGGATACTTACCACCGAAGTCTTGGACATGTTGCGGCGGTGATAAGTCTGATGCCTTTCAAGATCTCTCTAGTCCACAAGCCTACTGATGCGCAACTGCGTGAGACCGAGGTTTGGAGTCAGGTGTAGATGTCGTGGTTGTGAGGAATCAGTGTCGAGACAAACTGGCGATGCCGAAGACTGAAAGTCTCTTGGCCGCGGCAGGTCAGGATATTGCTGCAATTCACCTCATGCTCATCATTGATAGCACATCCAAAGATTCACAAAAGTCTTCCTCAAGTAAATCTCAAGAACTTAGAACGAAAGTGAATTCAATCTGGCGAGGTGGAATGTGAGGTGGTGAATCAGGTGTGACGGCAAGTTCACAAGAGCAGGAGAAGAGATGACCCTGTCGCCCGCAAACAAAGGCTTGGCCTGGCCACTGGGTAGTGGACACCCTCGCTGAGACTTATTTCTGGGGGTCTCTTGCGCGCTCTTGCCAACTGGGCACGCCAGGCTAGTTAAGCGGCTCTGCCTAGACCTAGTAATACTCACCTTCCCTAGCACTAACCACGGATAACTCGGCGGTCTTCAACCACCTCTGCTGCACGGAGTAGAGAACTGTGATGAATACTGGTATTTCTCTTGAGTATCAAATATCGCCACCTAGTTCCTCGTTGCCCCTCTGAGATTGCCTGCGATCATGGCATTTAGGCCCGCCCTCATTGTGGTCGACATGCAACATGATTTCTGTCCTCCCGTATGAAAAGACTTGCACCACGTTTTCAATTCACCCTTGGTGCTGATATGTATAGGACGGCTCACTTGCAGTCTCGGGAGGGCGAGAAATTGTGCCCTTGATCAACCGCCTCCTTGAATCGCCGCATTTTGTCTTGAAAGTGGCCACGCAAGACTGGCACCCAACTAACCATGTATCATTTGCGACAAATCACTCTGCTCCTGACAACAAACCCTTCGAGTCTTTTGTCACCGTGCGTAATCTGGTTGGCAACAAACCAGACGAGACGATGCAGCAAAGACTGTGGCCCGTTCACTGTGTCCAAGGTACGAAAGGCGCTGAGATCATTCCAGAAATCAATCTCTCCGATATACGCTTCACGGTCCAAAAAGGCCAGGATCCTGGGGTCGAGATGTACTCTGCCTTCTCAGACTCTTTTGGCAATTTGACATTTGGTGCTGGGGGGGTGAGTCACGACCTTGCTAAAGAACTGGCCGCTGAAAACATATCTCACGTCTATGTTGTCGGCCTCGCTGGAGACTATTGTGTCAAAGACACTGCCCTTGGATCGGCAAAAGCAGGGTTCACTACATATGTTATAGAGGAAGCCCAAAGATGTGTGGATCCCAGCACATGGATGAATGTCAGGGACGCTCTGGCACAAGGCTCTGTGACTGTGGTCAGTGTCGACACTGACGAGGTTCAACGAGTCGTCGGCTCCTGAAGTCAATCTCAATGTGTCACTGATCTCGTCCCCAGGATGACAGAAACGGGGCAGTTTGTCTCCTCAGCTCGTCTCCCTTCACGTACTCACCCTGATCAGACTACAAGCAGCAATCAAAGAAGACGATTTGTTCAAGATGTGCGTGCCTTTGCTCAAACCTTGGTAGGGGGCACTGATTTCACGGCCATTCATAAACACTCACTCGCTATGCCAAAGTCAGACAGATACAGTCTTGCCAGTTCCATGCCGTCATACGTACTGATGCGGCTAACTCTGCTATCCACGGAGTTACATTCGTCGTTTCTTTCGCTTGTTCGCCCGAGACTCTCCAAGCTGCAAGCAGATGTGGAAAAAATGGATCTCTTTGTGCATTTCCAAGTCGAGTTGGGTTATGCCACTTGGCTTCTGAAGTGATATTGCAAGCGGGCAACGCTGTCTATTTTGATGAGTATCAGCGCCACATTTTGAAAAGGCCTGAGCATCTAAGGGGTTTGTTGCTTGGGTGTATCCCACAGAACGCTCTGTGCTGGCCACGTCAACTGCCTTCTAGTCCATGCGCCGATGACCATAATGATAGGGTCTCACCTCCCATGATGTTCTTTCCGTTGCTTTCTAGGCTTCGACGGATGGATATGGCACCGTTGTCCTCTGTAACTAGTGTCTCCTTCACAAGTCCTTGCCGAGCAAGGTGGCGCACAGTCATCTGGCACAGCCTGTACTGTAGCTAGAAGAAGTCGCAGTCATACCTCGGATTACAAGATACACGCACCAATGCTTGAAGAGATTCCGAGCATCCAGTATGTGATTGCAGAAAAGATCCTTGATGGGATACTGTAGCCAATCATGCAGCGTTATGGGTCTTCCAGTCAGTGTTACTTATTCGTGCCACTTGGTCACCATTACTTTGCCATCTCACCACCCCAGATCTGCCATTCGTGTTATGATACCAGAACAATAGGACATAACAAGGGTTTAGCAAAGTGCCATTGGTGGATAATAGTGCGGTTGGGAGAGGAAAATGCCACACTCGGTCCATCCTACGCCACGGGAAAATACTCCAGACACAGGCAAAGAGCAAGACCTGTCGGGACTTTGGTGGAATCACAATATACCAAGTCGTCAATGGACAGCAGATTGTCCGCCCTACTTGGTCGGGCAAAGTGAGAAGAACATTGGGATCTTGAGCCGCAAAGATGAGGAGTTCGCACGATTTACGTGGCGACAGGTTGAGGAGCTAGTTCGTAAGTCTACCCTTTTCCTGAAGTTGCGAGTGTCGTGAGGGCACAACACTAGCAGAGGGCGACATGCATGCAACATCAGCTACAAAGATGGTTCCTGATACGTTTCACTCGTCCAAGGGACGAACAATATCCACCTTTTTCAGCGACCATCAAGCCAGCTTCGGGGCTATCTTGCCTATGTCTACCATCTCAAGAAGACCTATGGCTCCGTTCTACTATATATCCAGCAACATCGCCTCCATTGGCCCACGATCAGCCCCAGCGGCGACCCGCCATTCAGTAATTCTTCTGACTACAAGATTTTATACAACGACTGGCCGTACTTTGTCGAGCAAGGGATACAACATCTCGTGGTGTGGACGAAATTTTCCATCGACGAGGTTGAAGAGACGGGAGAAGTGACTCCGGAGGCGAAGAGCAAGATCGAAGAGTTCATCAACAGGACATTCTGTGCAGGGAAAGACGGGAAGAAGATAGAGAGGGACAGGATCGTGTGGTTTAAGAACTGGAAGAGTCTGAAAAGCGTGCATGCGTTGGGTAAGTTGAGATCGTCCGAGGTGAAGCTGTGGACGTGGATGAGGCTCTGATCGTGGCTAACTGAGACGTCTACAGAGCATTTCCACATTATGCTGTATCAGCCCCCGGAGGAGCTCGTTGAAGCTGTTACAGAGGGGGATCGGCCAACATGTGAAAGCTGGATGGCAGAGAACAGTTCTCTGTAGATTCAAGCGACGGCGTCACTTGTTAGCAACTCCAATCTGGTCGGATAGAATATACTCGCATCGGAAGAACAGGAGCCAGCATGCACAGGATGTGCATTAAATAGACGGGGAAACCATATTTTTTACGAGGGACCAGAGACCCGGGAATTAATTGGTGCCGGTTCCCAGGTTTTCCCATTAATGTTTCTTTGGATCTTGCAGTTTGCGGCATGTGGATGACGCAGCATTTTTGGCTTGTTCAGGGTCTCCACTTGTGCTCAGAAACCCGCTGCGGCTTGTCCAGTGAAGAATGGTTCGCATGCACGAAAAGAACTGCAAATTCCCCTCGAAAGTGGAAACAGGCATCTTTTTTAGACCTCTTTACTCATCGTGCCAGCTGTGTCACCAAATTTCCTCCACGGTCATCACCGAGCTCTTCACTCTGTCTCTACTGCCTCAGTTGACCACCGAACAGCGTGGCACTCGAGGGCCTTGTTCGTATCTGTCGCGCAGGAGACTTGACCTTTCGCCCCCCGCCGTATCCGACCCTCCACGACGTCATATCACAATTGCCCATTCTTGCTCTACCACTTGTACCTCTTCCATTGTACCGAATCATCCCTCGTGCATGAGGGCGGGCAATGGACAAGATGAAGCACTCAATAGGTGGCGCGCTGCGTAATCGCAGTGAGTCGAAGAGTATGGCCATGCCCCTCAATGCGCGACCGTTGCTTCAGGCTGACTTGAAGACTCAGGCAATCGCTCTTCTTCAGAGGACACACGCGAAGCCGCGGATGAGGACACTATGGTTATCGAACCCGAGCAGGGAAACAGTGAGATTTATCTTACGATACTTGAGGAGAACGGGGTGCTAACAACGAACATCAGTCCTGTTACACATCATCTCACAATTGCGCCCTGGCGCCGACCTGTCCAGAATCACCCTCCCGACCTTCATCCTCGAGGAAAGATCGATGCTAGAAAGAATAACAAAGTAAGGTGTTTCTGAAAGGCAACAAATGCGATCAAAAGCTTACGGGGTGCTTTTAGTTTTATGGCCCATCCTGATACCCTTCTCCCGATGCCTTCTATCGACGACCCGATTGAACGATTTATCTCGGTTGTCAAGTTCTATCTGAGTGGCTGGCATATCAGACCTGCGTACGACGTCTCACAGTGCCGTATCTGACAACAGAGCTGATTATTTGCTAGTGGTGTCAAGAAACCCTTGAACCCGATCCTCGGGGAAGTGTTCACCTGCTGGTGGGAATATCCAGACAAGACGCGAGGTTACTATATTTCGGAACAGACGTCCCATCATCCCCCAAAGTCGTCATATTTCTTCATGGCACCGCACCACCATATTCGGGTTGACGGTACTTTGAAGCCCCGCAGCAAGTTTCTGGGCAACTCGGCGGCTAGCATGATGGAAGGCATATCATACTTGAGATTCACAAACCGGGGAAAGTCCAAGGGTGGAGAAAAATAGTACGTTTGGCTCCTCAAATTTCCCTGGAGGCGTTTCTAACCTCAGCAGCATCCTAACGCAACCCAACATGTACGCCCGTGGGATACTCTTCGGCAAGATGAAATACGAGCTGGGCGACCATTCCTACGTGCGATGTCCGGAGAATGGGCTGGCAGCAGATATTGAATTCAAAACCAAGGGCTGGGTAGGGGGCACCTACAATGCTATTGGAGGGGTTATCAGAAATGAGCGAACTGGAGAAGTCCTCTATGAATTGTCAGGATACTGGTCCGGGGAGATGACGATCAAGAATACCAAAACCGGACAGAAAAAATTGCTCTTTGACGCCACACATGCCAAACATGCCCCTCCTTTGACCCGGCCAATTGAAGAACAGGGCGAACGCGAATCGCAAAGACTTTGGAAGTCGACGGTGCAGGCAGTGCACGCGAGGGACCATGAAGTTGCTACAGCCGAGAAAGCCAAAATTGAAGATCGGCAGCGAGAAGAGGCCAAGCGAAGAGAAGAACTGGGTGTTGAATGGAAGCCCAAATTGTTCCGGCGGGTGGATGCACGGCCTGGATCGCCTGAAGAAGGCGAGGAGGATCTGGAGTGGATCATTAATGCGCACTTGTGAGTTTCTTTACTGCTTCGTCCTTGGTCTTTACTAATAGCCTGGTTAGGGATCCCAAAGCCTCGCCGGATGAGCTTGTGGAAAAGATCCTCTCAATAGCGCCTATACTTCCAGGCCAAATTGCAACCTCCGACCAAGAAACGAGGCGCCACTCTCTCGTGCAGAATGAACATGGCTCTCATCAAGCAGGAGGTCATCTGCACGCCTCGGACAATCTGATTGATTTCGATTCCCGACCCCCAAGCACAGCGCCGCCGGAGAAACATTCGACACAAGGGAACTCACAATCACAACATACTGAACAGCAAAAGACGGCGAATTTGATGGATGATGACCATGAAGAAATGTCTCATATGAATAACCAAATGTCGAAAATGAACATGCACGAGGCAATGGTACCAGAAGGCCAAAAACCACTGAGAAGGGCAGACACAGACACTAGCGAGGTGGATCTGTTTGTTGATGCCGAAAGCTGAGGGTTCAAGATATGAGGGCTGTTGAGAAAGTGATGTGGTTTGACATTCCCGTGCCTTCTATAAAGTCGCCGGGAGAAAGGGACCCAGGTCATCTTTGTCCATCTCCATCTCCATCGACAAACGATCTCCACGATAACGAGAATATAGAGGGTCAAGTGGTCCGGGTTGTTCAAGGCTGACAGGCGTCGAGAGCATGTTCTAGAGCGCACCTACAGTGCAGCAGAAGCACAAGACCCCTAATGCATTTTATGAAGGCTGAGCTGGCATACAAGTTCGGTGTAGCTTTCTTGTGAGCTCTTGTCTTCCAACTCTGGGTGCTTTGCCACGTACCTGCGTCCAGGAGCCCGAGTATTGCCGAAGCCCGAGCGGCCCCTAGCAAATCAAATGAGGTGGATTAGCTCGTGTCAAGGCTAATTAGAGGTGCCTAAACTTCTCTGGGGTAAGCGCCTTGCGGAGGATAAAGACACCTTGGGGACAATCAGCAGGTGCGGGGAAGCCTTGGACTCTCGCCTGACGCCTAAACCACCCTTGGACCTCCCTCGCTCCCTCCCTGCCAGCCTTCGGTGCTCGGTAAATGCAACAACCTTGGAACGTTTCATGTGATGACCCTTGCGCAGCCCGGTCAGTGGGAAGGTGCCATTGAGCTGCATGCCAGAAAGGGCGGTCGCAAGGGGACGCAAGCCACCCAGCAGGTAGTAATATAATAACCGGCGCACCGACTTCGGTTCAACTTCATCTTCGACCTCCCTTCTTCCTCGTACACTGAGACTAATCCCCCTGTTTGCCTTATCACGCAGCCCTTCTTCTGCATAGCACTGTGGAATCCCCGGCCTTCAATTAATTCGTTCAGTCCCTGAACACTTGGTCTAGCCCGGAACCTGCGCTACACATTGCCGAGCATCTCCTCTTCGACTTCAGAAACCAACACGACAACAATCTCTCGATAGACCACGCTCGACTCTTCACCAGACGCGTGTTTTTGCTACAAGTCGGCCTATCACAAATCTCCACAACTCCGTCCACCGCGCCCACTTGTCCCCTCGATTATCGAACAGCCGGCGGCCCAATACTTCCTCCTTCAACACCGCCTCGCAGCAAAGTAAACAGAATCAAACAAACCCATAACAATGCAGACCCGCACAATCCTCGGCGTGGGTGCCCTTCTCGGTGTCGGTGCGTTGGCAGTCACCCAACTGTCCATCCAATCACAGGACCGCCAGTACAAGAAAACTCTCCAATACATGCACGACGGCAGGGAGAAGATCCAGGACCGCATGAATCAGATGGCCAACAGTGTGACTGGAAAGAAGTAAATTCATAGGAGCCACTGATAACACTGGGAAATAACCAAACCGAGAAGGGCGCTGAGGTGAAGAATAGTAGCGGGAAGTTGAGCTGCATACAGCAAAGAGTTAGTATTGAGTTAGTTAGTCGGAGGGAGCCGGTGGTCACATAGACATGAGCTACATGGCATCTTTTTTTTCTCACGGTCAAAGTCATACATACTCGTATCAAACTGTGTTGCGACAACGGAGCGACATGACAAGTTGACAGCATTTGCGGACCAGCACGGATATGGGTTCTCTGTACCATCCACAAGATAATGCAGTTTCAAATTCCATATCTCCTATTTTCTCGACCTAGACTCCGTACTCCTTCGATCCATCTCAATTGGATCATTCGGGCGAGACGCATACATTCTCACTCGGTACTGTACCGGACGCAGAAAAACTCCTGTTGTGTGCATGTGTGCATGCATGATTGTACCAAGTACCTAATATAGATACCTAGGTAAGTGGGTGGGTGTATGTGAAGGACTCGTATTCATTGGCACACCACCCTCCCAGCCTGAATACCCTGGTAGCCTGGCAACTGGGTTGCTGGGTCGTATCCGTGTACGGGGTACGGAGTACCGAGTACCGAGTATCCATGTCGTATCAGAACCAGATCCTGGTCTGGGGCCAGGGAGACGTTCAAGATGGGATATGTGGAGAAGACAAGGCTATGCCATGCTGCGCTATGCAAATACTGTATGCCGAGTATGGACGCCTGAAAAGGGTCGAGGGATACACCGTTGGTCAATGCTCACAGTGCAATGCAATGTAAATGTAATACAACACAATACAAGGCAACACTGCATAACACAGCATAACATGGGACACGAAAAGACAACATAGAATCCTCAATTCATGTTCCCTTTTTGTCGTGTCCTCTCACGAGTCCTCGTCCTCTGTCTCGGTATCCGTCTCGGAGGTGTCACTGTCATCATCGTCACCATCGGTGTCGCTTTCGTCGTCGTCATCGCTTGCTTCTTGCGTCGTGTTGGCTTGAGTCTGAGCCACAGGAATCCCTTTCGTGTCGGCAGCCACGGCCTTCTTCTTTTTCTTCTTCGGTGTCACTGGGGAGCCGGTCAGGCCGCCGGACTTCATCGCTTGGAGTTGACCCGCGAGAGAATCTATTTGGTCAGGAATCGTTAGCGTTACTCTTCTGGTTGTCTGCAGTTTGTGACAAGGTTGGGTCGAGATACATACCTTCCTCGGGTTCGCTAATGTCGTCGTCACTTTCGACCACTTCAGCTTCCTTGGGGTCTCTCACGTCTAACACCACGTCGACCTTCTCGTCCAGCCCGATGTAACTATCACACACCAAGTGCATGACAAACGGAAAGGCGTGGACCTGGGGCGGTGCCTGGAAGGGACATTTCAAAGTGACGACGTTAAAAGTGGGTTTACCAGTGTCCGGGTGAAATATGGGCCGGTCGAAACTGGTAAATGTGAAAGGGGGGACAGAAATACGGCCGGTACGTGCTTCTGCGAGAAAGACGTGCCATCGAGGAGCGTGGTCTGCGGCAAAGTAGGGTGCATGCGCCAGAGGCGGTTGTACACTTCCTTCTTTGGCATCATCCTCCACGTACGAGCCATCAGGGAGTTTCCTTCTCTTCGACTTTGCCGGTTTCCGACCATGCAAGGCATCCAGGTCTCCTTCATCTGGGTCGATGTCCTCGAGATCCAGTGGGTTGATTGGGGGAATCTCCTTTTCTGGTGTTCCAGGAGGGATAATGCGGGCTTTGATCACGAGTTGAACCAATGACCCAGGCGTGACGACGCGCTCGCCAACGACTTTGAAGAAGGCCTTTGCGATGACAAGATGGGGAATTTGAGCGGCCACCGCCATTGCTTGGTTGTATTGTTCATCCGAAAGATCAGAGCACAGCTGTCTTCGTGTTGTGGACGGGAGAGACATGAACTTTTGAAATGTCATTGGCGACTTTGAGGACTTGACGATCTTGTCAGCGATTGCGGGTGTGAAGTTGGGAAGTTGGAGAATTGCTGAAGCCGAGGGCGGAACGGCTTGGATGATGTTCTGTGAGGTGTGGTAGGATGCTAAGAGGGGCTTCACCATGCCAAATGGCAGAGTTATTGATGCAAACGAGTTGTTCAACAAGAGAGCGGTTGGGGCGACATCGAATTTCTCTTTCTCCAGCTCGGGATCGTCCAAGTCGATCCGAGCCAGGTAGGCCCAGAGAAGGGCAAGTGTTTTCCGTCGCACTGGGTCGTCGATGGCTTTCAATCGTTCCTTGTCTGCTTCTGTGAGGGCAGAACTGCCGAGGACTTTGCTTTCCACCTTTGCAGCACCAGCATCACTCCTAGGTCCTTTCAGAGTCTCTTTGAATTCTTCGCCGACACTGGTGGCTGCCACGACGGCGCCCTCCGATAAATCTTCCTTCCACTCTCGGAATAGATTGCCTGCGCTAGCATGGAGGACTTTGTCCTTTGTGAGAGCCTGTGTTCCATACCACCACTTCCCCAACGTGTAGGGGAGAATGATTCCAAGAAGGATGCCGTAGAAGGCGACCACAAACCAGCGGTTGCCCTCTTCGACCATCCACTTGGGCAATGCAATGCCGATACTCGTGGACTGCTTCCCATCGGGGTTGCCATATTGTAGATAGTTGTTTCTGATCTCGTCATCCGTCAATGCCTTGTAGGCCTTTGTCATTTCCACCCAGCGATCGTTCACGTCGTCCATGGTTTCATTCTTGGAGGCGTCGGGCTTGGCCTTGTCAGGATGGAACTTGAGCGATAGCCTCTTGTAGAATTTGTCAATTTCCCGCTCCGACGCACTCTGTCTGCTTGTCAGCATCTGTCTGTTGCAACGACCCATATTCTTCGACGTACCCTTGACACGCCCAAGATATCGTAGGGATCCCACATCTTGGGGACCGTTCTCTGCGTGACGATGATCAAATATATCATGTAAGCCATGAATGTATAGCCCGCGATCACCGCTATGATCCTTTTTGTCTTGCGATTCTGCCTCTTTCGTCTCCTCCTCTGCGCCTCGATGATGTCAACATTGTGAGGTTTGAAATCTGACTTTACTCGGGTCGCGGTCTGTTCGAGGTCGGTGGATGCTTTGAGGACGTTATACGTGAGGGGCACCGTGACCAAGCCGGCCATGGTCAGCATGAAGAACGGGAAGAATTGACCCTGGTCATCGTAATTGTATTCGGAGGACATGGTGACTTGACCTGGGTGCGCAAGCCGCTTGGGGCTGCGCTGTTGGACTGTTCTGGGGTATCGATGACCTTTGTCAATACAATGGGCACTGATCAGATACAGTTGTCAAAAGAAAATTGGTGCACAAGGACAGTGAGCGACGAATTGAATAGGGAAAAGGAAAAGTTGTCGTAGAGTCGGAGTGGCTCGTGCGTCCTTTCAACTCCGCAAAAATGGTCGACGCGAGAGGTGGCTTCAACTTTCTCTAAATCGGCGCTAAGGAAAATCGCCTCAGCCTCGTCAGGGGGCGAAAAGGGGCAGTTACTTGCTGTCCTTAACAGTGTTCATTTTTCTAGATACTAGATATCCAACTTGCTATGACAGCAGGAACGAAACATTCTATACCTTCTGGAGTCTTCGAGCGATTTGATGCCGCAAAACCTGAGAAAATAGGCATATCGCAACCACCTGCCCAGCTGAACATCCAGCTTGTCCTATTTTTCGGTTTGCTTTTTCTAAACACAAAAGGTGAAGGAGTAACCTTCTCTGCGCCATCACCGCGCCAGGAACTTCCCCCTCAATTTCAACGCGAAAGAATCAAGTATGCCTTGTCACCCCTCCTGCGCACGAAATTCTGGAAGGAACAGAAAGATGAAGAGTGCCGCAACTGCTAAGGCTTCTGCCCGTCCATTCCCAACTCCCCCAAACTTTGAAGTTTCGAGGTCTTGCTTTTGATTTCCACCCAGGGTGTCGCTCTTTGACAATAAAACTCGATCTCAGGGTCCAGACCCTTCAGTCGCTCTTCTCCCGTCAACATCGCATGCTCTGCCCCAGATCCGCCCCCGAGCGGTCCATCAATAGACCCGGCCGGCAACGAGATCATATCCTGAAAGTCCGAGGTAGAGCAGTACAGCGGACTACCACATCTGGCGCAGAAGTGGCGGTTGACCGTGCGGCCCGAGTCGGAGCCTTTGTCCCCGTAGGTAGTCATTTGCGGTGGTGGGATGATGGCGTTGTCGGGCCTGAGGTCCAGAGCGGAGCGCGGAAATAGGATGTTGGCCATGAAAACCGATCCAGACCATTTTTTGCAGGCGTCGCAGTGGCAAATGATGCTCTTGACGGGCTGTTTGAGGACCGTGTATCTCCAGGCCCCGCAAAGACAGGAACCGGTCAGGGTTTCGGCTGGATCGCTCATTGTTTTATTGGTTGGAGTGTTGTCGTTGTCGTCGTTGTCGAACGAGCTAGGACTAACGGTGAGATAGATGGAAGTTCTTGTCTTGGAGAACAAAAGATAGGCGGTAACAGGAATTATGGGTGCTGTTGTTGTAGGGGATGCAAGTAGGAAGATTTACTTCTGAGTCACACGACTAGGCAGCCAGCACACCTTTTCAGTTACAGAAGGAATTGAGGACTAGATATATTAACTGGCAGTCATAGATTGTGAGACAAGCACAGGGACGGTGAGAAAGCATGCCGAAAGGGACTTTCAATTCGATATGTTGGTAGAGGCTTCAATATGTGCTTAAAGAAATGGAGCGGCTGGCGATTCCTGCACGTCCTTCATCCTCGAACTTTGACAAATTCCCAATCATAGCCCCGTCCTCATTCCCAGAGGTTATAGGTCGACCTTAGGCGCCATGAGGAAGACGTAACTTCCCTCCGACAAACAATGGACGCCAAATCGTTCCTCGTCCTGATGCCGCTCTGCCGAACCAGATAATCTTCAAAAGACATAATAACCCAAGAGCTTTCCAGATGCCGCATTCCGAACTCCGAACTTTTTTGTGGCCGCGACGATATTAAATGGCCTCAACCTCGTCTGACGCGTTTGGAAGCCCGGCGACTTCAATCTTAACTGGGATGGACTTCACCTCGATGGTACTCATGGAGGTTTTTTTTCCCTTTTGTTTGGCTTGTTTCTTTTGCAGAGCCTGTTGTCGCTCCAACTCTGCTCTTCGCCGTCTGGCCTCTTTTCTTGCCTGGGCTTCCTTCTTCGCCTGGGCTTCCTTCTTCGCCTGGGCTTCCTTCTTCGCCTGGGCTTCCTTCTTCGCCTGGGCTTCCTTCTTCGCCTGGGCTTCCTTCTTCGCCTGGGCTTCCTTCTTC